AATTCTCTACAACTTGTATTCAGTTATTGTAGTTTCTCAGGTAAGTGTTTCCTATCCTACTCCACACCCACCTTCTCTTGCTTTACTTAGCATTAAGGCAACATTTTTAGCAGTCCCTGGCATTGGTAGTGACAGGGAGAATTAACTTGCACTTTCCCTTACAAGACTTGATAACTTGTTTAGGTCATGGGTTTTCTCCTTTATCCCCGTCAATCCCAAAAGGCTATGGAAACCTACCTCACTGTATTACTATCAAGCATCTTTTAAGAGGACAGAAGGATGAGTGTGTTTGAGAGTGTTGATTGGAATATCACCATTGAACAAAACCCAAATGAAATAGTGGATCAATAGCAATGATAATCAATAATTGTAAATATCACAAAAAGAGAGTATTACAAATGCATGCCTTCTGATGGAATGACACATGGACACCTATGAAGTAGTTTCATCAAAAAATAAATAACTAAAAATAAAACCTGACTCTGATAAACCGCTATATCTATTTTCTGGATTACAGAAAATTTAGGGAGTAGCAGAACATGTTAACAGTATGACAGGAAGACAACAAAATCTAGGTCATAAAAAAGTCTAGAGGATAAATTATTTCTTCAACAAAAGTAAATTGCAAGGGGGAAAAAGGAGAAATGGTGAACCTGTTTCTGAAAAGATATTTAAGAGACATATCAACAAACCTCAATGTATAGAGGATTTAAAGTGTGATGAAAAACCATTATAAAGTAATAAGGGAGACAGTAGGAGGGTGGAAGATGGGATGTATATGTAAACAATGTGAATTACCTAAACTCCGTGGCACCATCCTGGTGATGAATCTCTCACAATTTTAGAAAGGGACTGGAACACTAGCCACTGGAACAATGCATTTGCCAAGCTGTCCTAGAACAAGGACTTTTTCACATGCTCAAGGATGACTTTATAGGCTAGAACTCTGCAGTTCTTTGGGGAGTTTGGTCAAGCCTATGATGAGTTCAGGAAGGGGGACTAAAGAACACACTGGAGGGGGAAACAGATATGAGGCCCAAGTGGGTCTGGGTCTGCTTCTGGACTTAGGCACCCCATGAGCAGAACCAGGCCACTAGAGGGAGACTTAACAACTTTCTTAAAGAAAGCACTCTGAAAAACAGGGTGCCCTCTGGCACAGGGCAGAGGGACAGGGTCCTTATTTGCCCAGTTCTAAGGGTGGCACTGGTTGGAATGAATATGTTTGTGTGAACTAAACTGCCAGAGATTAAGATACAATGTATCTGTAGGGTGTGATCATGAGTTAGGACCCAAAATTTTAAAGAAAGTTATGTCATGACCTGGAGGTCTGAGGTTGAACAGAAATAGGTAAAATAATCTGAGGAGGAGAGATTCAAAGTGTAGGTTTTATGGAGAAGGAATGAAGAATGAGGCACAAAAAAGATACCACTTTCCTATCTTCAGTGATATAAAACCTAGAGAGGATAATAACAGACATCACTTGAAAGCAGTGGTTTCTTTGAAGGGTGAACCAGCCTGCCATTAGCATAAGGAGGTAAAGGGAACATTGAGAGAAGAGGTTATAAGAACATAGGGTGAGGGGCCAGCAGGTGGTGTGGTGGTTGAGGCTCTGGACTCCCACATGGCTGAATACAGTTCAAGTCCCGAACCTGGCCGCTTGCTTTCTCACTTTCTCTCTCTCACTGTCTCTCTCTCTCTCTCTCATACACACATGCCCTGTGGTGAATTAAATAATTATGATAATGATAATTTAATTTTATTTATCATAATTATGGTAATCATGATAAATAAAATTAAATTAAATAATTACTTTAAAAGAATTTAGAGTGTTTTGCTAATGGTAGACTGTGAATTCCAGAGGTCGTTGTCAGAGGGTATGAGAAAGGGACAAGATACAGACCATGCATGCTAAGCCTTATGATCATTAGAATATAGGATATGAGAAATGCACTTGAGATTCCAAGGCTTCTTGTGGTAATTTATATAAATAGGCATTCAGGGCTAAATGACATGAACTTTGGTAGACTTTCGACAGTATCAGGGATGCTGTGAGTGCTGGGAGTAAGAAAGGCAGGTGTCTTGCCTTCCTGTTGACTCTTGAGGATGGGGGTAAGGTGAATTGGAGAGAGGGTAGACTTGGCCTAAAAGTAAGGGGCTCTCTTTAAGCCCCTGTTGTGGAAGCCAGGTGTTCAGCTTGCACAGTATCTGATAGGACTAGTACTCCAAAGCACAGCCTTTGGAAAACCTTGCTCTTGCTACTAAAAGGGGATGAGAGACTAACATTTATTATTTGCACACTATGTACTAGGCACTGTCCCTTTTGTGCATATTATAAAATTTAATCACCACAGCATCTGCACTTAGTGTGAATTATTTATTTATTTTAAATAAAAACCATTTTGCCGATGTGAAAAATGTTTGATGCTCATGGGGTATGTTGATGGCTTGCTTTCTAGCATCACAGGAAGAGGCTCTGCATTGAGGAATAGCATGTCTGGTTAGTAGGAAGGCAATGACTTTAGACCACTGGGATTTTATGGCGACAGGGCAGGTATATCACTTTACCCTCCATCAGCTTCTAAAAGAAAAGTGTGTATTTTTAGAAGAGACAAATATTTCCTTATACCCAAGGTGTGAATAAGACTTTCTAATTAAGGTGCTGGCTCCAGGAAGCCTTGGACCAAAGGATGCACCAGGCAGGACCCTAGAATCAGAGCTGCTATGAGATGGAAAGCCCAGATACCAGTGCATACACCACCATAGATTCAAAGACACAGTGTTAAAATATCCTACTCCAACACAACAAGATCTTAAATTGGACCTTTCCTGCAAATACACAAGCAGCTCCTAATGGAGCTGTTACTTCAAATGCATCAAGATAAGATAATCCAGAGCTTTAAAAAAGTTATACATTTCTTTAAATATCTTCCATAGGTGGCTCAGGGGAATGATGTAAGGGAGAGACTGCATAGCATCAAGTAAGGTGATCGTTTTCAAGGTTTGTTTTATGGTTTTCTAAACTTCTGCCACCTGGAGAAGCAATCCATTATTCTGTGACAACAGGGGCAGGTCCTCAAGAGGGTATCCATTTGGAAACTCAGTGAATGGGCAGCATGTTTTGCAGCTGAGAGTGCAAATGTTTATATATAATATGGGGGAAATCGGAATAAGATGTATGATTTTTTTAATTTCACAATTTTATTTTCAGTGTTGGATTCACAGGCACTCTCATGGAGTCTATCTTCCTTCTGATGATAACAACACAATACTTCCACCCTATATAAAATTGAATTCAAACAATTTATTTACCAAGAGGAATCCACAGAATGCAAAGGAACACATTCCTTAATTTTCCTGTTGCCTGACCACCTCACAGCACCACATATACTGGCAATTGCAAAGCCTTTAACAAAAAGCGAGAGCCAACCAGGCTGTAAAAGACCAGCGTAGGAAGTGTTTATTCACTAAGACACAGAATCATAACTTACAGTTCCAGAGTGTTTGAACTGGAGGAGAGGAAAATGAAAGGCCAAGGATTTTCTTCCATTTTCTTCTCTCCACAGAACCACGCACAGTGGCAGGAAGGAACAGGAAAGCTCAGGGTACAAGCCCGCGCTGGGCGAACCACCTGGTCCCCACCAGCTTCCCTGGGCTGAAGGCTCCAGTCCCGAGGGTCCTGCGAGCTCTCCTAACCCCACCCCAGCACGTGTAATGTCCCTATGTACATCCACACCGCCACCATTCACCCATCCTGCAATCTTCCAGGCACTTCTTCCACGGACAGAGCATACTCGGGGAGAGACGCTGTTCCATCCACTGCAAGCGCGCACCGGAGCCACGCTTTGTCTCTTTCGCGTCACCACCACAGGAGCGAGGATTGCCGGCAAGACTCACGCAGGTGCTGCCCCTTCTCACCCCGCCTGGGTTCCATTTGAGCACAGAGCCAGCGGGTTCAGAGTTATAGGGATGCCTGACTTCCCGCAGCGTCTGGATGGCGGGGTTTGCCACCAAAAGCCGAGGGAAGAACCACTGAACTCAATAAATACGCTGAGGTGGGGTGGGCGCGCCAGGATTGGGTGTGGCCTAGCGGGGCAAGTTTGTCTACAGCCGCCCAACCTCACGGCTTCCGGAGTGAAGCTTGAGCGAGGTCTCTAGCTGTCAATAGGGAGAAATCTTTCTGAGAACACAGCAAAATTTTCGCGACATTTAAAAAACAAAAACAAACAAACAAACAAAAATATTCAATGGTTTCTCCCCAAGGGCCACTTTCAGTGTCTGTGTATGAGACCTGCTGTCTCGCCCTACCTGGCACTGGGGAGACCCCAAACACCCTACAAAGTTTCTTCCTCTTTGCTTCCACCATGCCCCAAGTTTCCTCTCGACTTGTATGCCACCGTGGGGGGTTAGGGATGGAGGTGGGAATGAGGGTGGGGTGGGGGTGGAGCTGGAGTGGGGTACGTGGTTAACCTATTGAAGCCTTCTGGCTCCCTGAAGCCAAAAGTTCACTAAGTAGTCTCAGGCCGAGAAACGAGAACCACCTCCCTCTCACCTCTTGGCACTGTGACGGTCCCGCAGTCAGAATTCCCTTGCGTCGGGCTGGAACCCAGGGCACTGACAAGTGCATAACGCATAGTCATACTAAGTGACACTAATTAAGGACTGGCACCCTTCACGTTCGCTCTCCTGCAAACTCAGAGCCTCGACTTCTCCGAAAGTACCTGGCACTTGGAGGTAGCCCTGCCCCCGCCCTAGTCCCGCATCGCAACAGCGCCTCAGCACCCCGACTTCTCCGAGCACCGCGAGTCGTGCGCGGTGCCCGCCTCCCCCGCGCCGTGACTCCCTGCGCACCGCTCGTACTCTGGCCACGCCGCCGCCCGGCACTGCAGCACCGGGGGAGGAGGCAGGCGGAGAAGGGGGAGGAGGACCGCAGCGTGCAAGCCCGGAGCCACTTTCCCGCCCCTCCTCTCGCAGCTGACACGCTCGGAGGAGTCACCACTCCGCGCGCTGCAGGAGAGAGTGGCAGACGGAGGCGGCCCGGGGAAGCGAGTCAGAGCGGCGCCCGCTCAGCGGCGGCTGCAGTGCCCACACCACTCTGGGCCGGGAATTCCCGGCGGCTGAAGCGGTGAGTGAGGGGTCCCTTGGCAGCCTGACCAGACCTCGCTGCACATCTGAATTTCTTTTTTGGACCCGGAGGCCGGGCGCTGATGCCTGGGGGAACTTTTTGCGGTGCGGGAGAACAACTTTACCCCGCTTGCCCCCAGGGAGGCGGCTTCAGGTGCCTGGGGCTGCTTGGCGGGCGCCTTTGTCGGGGCGGGACCGGGAGTGCTTGGTTAAGCAGATAGAGTAACCCCCGGTCCGATGGGGTGGGTCAAGGGACACTAGAGCACTTTCTCCTGGATTCTCGGGGGAGATGGGTGAGCGGCAGCGGGAATGCGGGGACCGCATCCGCAGGGACCTCAAGCTCCGTTGCTTGCGTGGTTCGACGGACAGGGCGAGGCTAATCAAAGCTGCAGTCCGGAGTCCCCGCTGGGCGCCCACTTCTACCTTCACGGCAGTCCTGGGCTCAACTTTTCGGCGGGGATCCTTCTGCAGACGTGCGACTGGCGGGAGAGCAGAGGCAGTCACAGAAAGCGCTGCAGGAGCTTTAAAGAACACCGTGAATTTCCAAACTCTTCCGTACACATTCCCAGAGCCGCTGTCTAGTGCAGGCGCGAGAGCGAGAGCCAGGCGGGGAGAGGGAAACCCGCGGGCGGCGCCCTGTGTGAGTGCCTGCACTTGCCTGTACAAGCGCTTCCTTCCGCACAACCCTACAGGGCGCCTACTGTGCGCTAGGCGGGGCGGCAGTGGCCGAGGGGCGCGAAGCTCAGCGGGAGGGAGAGACCCAGGTGGTGAAGAGGGCCGTGGGACTCTCAGCCAGCCCTTCTGGCCCTTTCCCTCGGTGGTCTTTTCCCCCTCCGCTTGGGTTCTAAACCTGAGATGACTTTTCTCCGCGCTTCGCGGGGACCGCCCCGGGCTGGGCCCAGGCGGACTGCGGAACACCGGGACAAAATCGCTTCCAGGCAGCAGGCACCCCGCCGCAGATGCACAATCCGGAGTATTTCTGTGGGCGTGCGGGAACCTCACGCGCCACGCGCGGGGGCGGAGAGGGAGGGGCTGAGTCACGGGGGCTGGCGGTGCCGCCTGGACGGCGGGAGCTGGGGGCGCTCGCGTCACCCGCTACGTGTTGGAGTGATGCAAATGCAGACCCGCGAGGGGCGGGCGGGTGTGGAAGCGGGGAGGCGACGGAGTCTCCGTCTGGGAGTGCGCTGTGTGCGTCAACAGCTCTCGGGTGATGGATGCCCGGCGGCTCACTCGGCGCGCACCGCGGCGACCCGGCGGGGCCGTGGCTCCGCAGTGCGCCACGGTGCCAGGAAGGCGCCGCAGCGACCGGGCGCTCCCAGGGGATGAAGGGATGGGGCATGTTTTAAGGCACCAGGATGCCCTGATGGCCTCCTCTCCCGCTGGACCTGCCCCTTCGTACTTAGGGGACTGACAGCACGAGGAAGTAGTTGCAATTTAATTCTTACCTTTAACCCTTGAGCAGAATTTGGCATGAATCTCTTAGGCGTTCACTCATCTTCAATGGCAAATTCCGAGAGACCTCGTGTTCGTGGCGCGTTTTTGTGTGAACGCTTCAGTGTTGAGGTTCCAGAACTGCTGTAGTGCCCACCCATTCCCTCACCATTCTTCAGGTCTGAGGCAGGAGGCCCTGTCTCTTAAATGGGGTTTGAGAACGTTTTAACAATGCTGCATTCCCTTTTTGTAACATAAAAATAGGTGTTAAAAACACTACTGATAATGCATTCTCTGGTGGAAAGTAAAAAGCCCCAAACATTTTTTTTTTTTAAAGATCGCTTTCTAGACAAGGGTGGCAAATAGGTGTTAAAAACACTACTGATAATGCATTCTCTGGTGGAAAGTAAAAAGCCCCAAACATTTTTTTTTTAAAGATGGCTTTCTAGACAAAGGTGGCAAAGGTTTTCCTATTGGTTTTCCTGAATGAGCTCTGCAGTAGGAGAGGCAAGGGAATGAGGGGGAGTAGGGTGGGGAAGAAGGAAGGGAAGCCAGAGAAAAGCAGTTTTCAGGGAACCCAGAGGCGAAGATCCCAGTCTCCATTTTCCCAATGTTGTGTTGCTTCTGTCACCTTTAGCAGGTTCCTTCCCATCTTGGGTTCATCCTCCACATTTGAGAAATGTCAAAAATAGCTCACACTAGCCCTCATTTACCTTATGGAGTTGTTTTAAGGACAAAAGAGAGCATCTCAATAGCTTTGGAAATACAGATTCTCTATGAATAGAAAATATTATGAAACAAAGTCTCCTCAGGGAAAAAGAAAACCATTTTTTATCTAAAAAAAAATTCTGTAGACTTTTCTCAGCATTGTTCCTTTAATGAAATTTGGCCTTCCATGTCAGCAAAGGCAGACAATAGACTTTTCCTAACAATCTAACATAAAATCAAATGCCATTAGCTGGTGATTGTCTGGAGAGGGGGGAAAATGCTCAGGATCACATTGGAGTGTTTTTGATGGTATAGTGGAGAAATCAGATTTATTTTTCATGACCCATGGAGAGTGGAAATAAGTAGCTTCTCTAGTCTGAGCAGCAGACTAGCCTAAGAGCTTTTACTCATTATTAACCCTATCATACTTAAGTGTGGAAGATGCTTCAGAAAACAGGATGCATTTCTCAACCTCAAGGAAATTACCGCAAAGGCATCATAATGTGCAGTGTAGTCACATGACCACAAGTACCAGAAAATCCATTTCCTATAATTAGGAATATTGGTTTTTAAGTAAGCATGATGGCATAGTTTATGAATAAAAACATCTGATTCAGCAAAATGCCTTCTTAACCAGCTTTCAGTATTGTTATTCATATTGCTTCACAGAATGATAGGTTTTAGTGAAAGTGAAAATACCTTTTTTACTCCATGCAGCTGTAACAGGAAAAAACCTTCAATTCACCAGTGTACTTCTCGGGTTCTTGTTGCTGAGGTTTCTGCCTAGCAGGTGGTTCACACTGTGCATATCATGTGCATTTAAACAGTAGCTCATCATTTAGAATAAGTCTGTGGGTCAACCTAGGAAAGGAAGATCTGGAGCAGTTTGTAGTTTTGATACAACATTGCTACATTGTTTTTGCTTTGCTTTCTGAATTTGTAAAGTTTAGCAACCAGCAGAAAATGTTGCAATGAATAGAATTTGGAGCTTGTCAGGTGGGCAGGTGGCATGGTTGTTAAGGGTGCTGGACTCCCACATGTCTGATCATGGTTTGAGTCTAGGACCTGGGGACTTTTTTTCTTTCTCTTTCTCTCTCTCTCTGTCCTTCTATGATCAAATTAAAATAAATAAATGAAGTTAAAATTTAAAAAATGCTTTAAAAAAGAATTTGGAGGTTGTTTCCTTATTTAAGAGAGCTGAGAATTACAATGAAAAAGATATTACTATTTTACAATAATTCTTGCTGGAAATGTCTTAATGAGATATAAAATTGCCATTTACTTTTATCACAAACACTTCCTTGTAATTAGAGACACTTGGTACTACTTGCATATCTGACGGCTTTCCCTGTTGGGGAATTGAGTCAAACAAAATGAAATGAATGGGTATGGGTAATTTGGTCCTTCCTAGTTCCAATATTATTTCCCCTCAGGAATTAGAGAGATATATGATAGCTAGATTTTAAATTAGAACCCTGCAAATCAGAAATATATAAGTGTTTTTGAGTAACTCAGATTGCAACTTTATGTAGAGTATAGGCTCTGTTTTTTATAGAGCAAATAATCTATTAGGTTTTATATTTTGCCATTGGAATATGAATTAAAAATTTAAGAAAGATCAAACTTAAAAAAGTAATAATTTCAGCTTAATGCAAAGTAGATCAGTTTAGCAGGCATTTGTAAATGTTCTCTGTTGACCATGCAATGCACATCATCTTGTCGTACCCGCTCCAGCAGACAGTATGTAATGCAAACTATTAAGATCAGATGCTGTAATGTTGGGCTTCAGTCTTCTGGCACTCATGGGCCCTTATACAATTCAAGAATAAGTAAGATTTATGACAAATGAGACCAAGTGCTTTCTCTTGTCATTTCCACTATTTGGAAATCTTGTAAATTAGAATTCTTGACTAGCCAAAGACTAGTGGTTCTCACATAGGTGTGTGTTTTGTATTTTCCTGGGAGTTTGTACAAGTGGAGCATTCTACATTATAGACTTTCTAAGTCAATGATTCCATGGTTGGGCCAAAAACATGTTAGATGTTATCTTTAGGGAACAACACTTGCAGGAGCACTTGAACTAGCACAAGACAGCACAACAGGCACTCAGAACACCCAGACTTTCTAAACCATGTTTTTCTTTTAATGTTTATTGAGTATCTGCTGGAAGCTTTCAGAGAAATCACATTTCAGCTAGCAGGACTGTCTTAAAAGATGACTAGCTTATTGGTTAATAGTCATAGGAGGAGTGAATGAGGTGGGTGGTTGAGAAAGACATCATGAAGATTGTATAGACGGTTTCAGAAATCAAAGGGCACAGACAAAGGAAATATTGTAGAGAGGTTAGTCTAGTAGGATAAAGACAGAAAATCTTGGCATGATCTTCAAGACCCTGGATGATCTGGCCTCTGCTCACTACCTTAGCCTCACAGTGCTTGATCTCCAACTGCCTCCATCCCCACTGCTGTCAAAAATCAGTCTCCATCTGCTGCTTGTCCCAACTTACCTCTACATCAGCCATTAACTCCTTAGTTTGGTTTCTCCTTTCTGGAGATGCCGCCAAACCTCTGTTACAAAGTTAAATGTCCCTCTCCTAGTACAATGTATTTTTTTCCTTATAAATTAGATTGTCAAAGAAAATACAGGATATGCAGTTAAATGTTAATTCAGACAAATAATAAAACTTTTTTAGTATAAATATTTCCAAATATTACATGTCTTAGTCCCTTCAGACTGTTATAACAAATACTTTAAATTGGGTAATTCATAAACAATAGAGATTCATCACTCACAGTTTTGGAAGCTGAAAAGATCCTATCAGATTTGGTGTTTGTGGAGGGCCTGGTCTTCATAGATATGTTC